TTTGTCTTTGGGGCATATACTCTCAGTGTACATAAAGAAAAATAAAATAGAATACATTCATCAAGAATCATGATACAACACTTAGTGATGGTAATAAGCAATCAAATCATATTAGGAAACAAATAAAACAATATAAATTGTAAAGATACAAGCAACAAGGTTATAGTCAAAAGTGGGAGGAGATAGGTAATAGGAAGGATGAGAAGAATAATAGTAGGCAAATACAACATTTTCTAAACTTCTTACAGGAAAAAGCACTTCAATATGGGCTTTATATTGGCCAGAAAAAGGAGGGATTGGGAAAAATGGGAGATCCTACTGCTGTGTTATTTGTCTGACAAGAGATTTGTTTAAATATCTGTAAGGAAACTCCAATGATTGCTTCACTGTCATATCTTTTTCAGGCATTGGAACTTTACTTTTCCTCACTGCACATGCTCAAGATCTACTGGCTGGAATACATTTTGAAGGTACTCTGAGAAAAGAGGGCAGGAAGAATTAACTGCCTGATGTTCATTGAGCAGAAATTGCTTCTATCTATAGAAACACCTCTGGGTTAGAGGCAAAAACATAATATGAAATTTGCTACTGTTCTATAAGGTTTAAGAAGCAGCCAGAAAAAAAATGTGATCCAGGCAGAGACTCGGTGTATGGAAACTGAGAGAAGAGAGAATAAAAACTAAGGTTTTTTGAGGCCTGTTTAAAAGCTGCATTCCCTAATGGAAAGATTAATTTTCATGGTACAGTTAACAGCTCTAGGCAGAGGTCATAATTTATATGCTGCTTACCATATGTCTTGGCCCAACTGTGTGCTATAGAGTATCATTAGAATATACAGTCTGTCTGACCCAGAAAAATGGTGAGATTTGACTGATCCACATGAGAAGCAGCTTGTAAACAGCTTGCCTGAAGATACCATTTGGTAAAAGTGTTTTTTTCATCCTTTAAGACTGTAAATTAAGGAAAGATTTCAAGCACTGGCTTTGGAGGGAACATTTGACAGAGTGCTGAAGAAGAATTTTCACATTCTCCAATCCTCGAGGAATAAAAGGCTAATAACAAGTTACTTACCACATAACTTTTCTCAAGGAGAAAGAATTATACCATCTAATGAGAAGCTAGAGCACGTTGCCTTAATGTTTTGCCTCTGGCAGTCTTGAAAGGTAACCATCCTAACATTCCTATGGGAGGCCAGAGCTACATTCTGGCTCAAGTGAGGTGTAGACTGTGGCTCATGTTCTACACATGGCTCTTTTCAGTGGAAGTCTTTCTGTCTCTCATACTCCATTTTTAACTCAGAGATCAGGAAGATTGAATGTATTTACACTCCTTTTTCATTGATAGAACACATACAGCTGTTACTTTTTAATGCTAGCAAATTTTTAATGCTAGCAAATATATCTAACCTGGCTTGTTGAGTCCACCAAATGGCATTTCAAGAGCCAGGTTAGATATATTAAGTGATTTAGACCCTGAGCTTTTAACAGGATACTGCCAAGATGGCTTTTATTATTGTTTATTACAATAGATATTGTACATATTTTTGACTGGTCAGTGATTATAATAAAAAAATACATAGATTGATTCATTATCTAAAGTATAAAACTAAGCCGTCAGCATGTGAATGCTACAAATCCTATTCACAAGATTGTATGAATAGACACTTCCTTCAAAAACAGTACCCAATTGCAGCTCATGATGAATATAGTTGCTCAGGACCTACCCTGAGTTGTCTTACCAGCAAGGTAACTATCCTGCTTCCCTGAAAATAAGACCTCCTCGGATAATAAGCCCAACCAGACTTTTGAGCGCATGTGCGAAAATAAGCCCTCCCCAAAAATAGCAATAGCAATAGCAGTTAGACTTATATACCGCTTCATAGGGCTTTCAGCCCTCTCTAAGCGGTTTACAGAGTCAGCATATCGCCCCCACAGTCTGGGTCCTCATTTCAACCACCTCGGAAGGATGGAAGGCTGAGTCAACCTTGAGCCGGTGAGATTAGAACCGGTGAACTGCAGATAACAGTCAGCTGAAGTACTGCACTCTAACCACTGCACCACCTCGGCTCAAAATATTGCAACACAACAGCAGCCATGAGGTGACCACGCTTGCCGCCTCCTGCACCTCAAATTTAATAAGACCTCCCCGAAAATAAGGCTAAGTGCTTATTTCAGGGGTCTAAAGAAAATAAGACCCTGTCTTATTTTGGGGGAAATACAGTAGTATTTAGCGAAGAAAATGTCCCCCTCTACATACTTTCTCTCTAGATTCTTTTTGAACAGAATAATTAAAACTTACCCATTTCCTTCATATCTGAGGCTGGAAACAAAGCCCACTGATTCCACATCAGCTTGATAGCCAATACTATTCTTCCATCTTCTATAATTTTTGCGGGTTAAATATCCCCTGAAAGCTAAGCAAGCATTAGCAAAAAAGAAGATTAAAAATGGAGCAGCATTATCTGACATTTTGCAACATACAGAATACTCTTCGTTCAACTTCTAGAAAGAAACAAATTCAGATTTGATTCAGTTCTGCAGCCTCTGGCTGCAATCACCCTCTAGGCTACAAAGTTTACTGACCATTACAAATGAATGGCATTGCCAAAGGTCTGGTTTGAGAATAGCTACAGATGGATTTTGTCAGCAAGCTATTTTGGTGAAGAAAACTGAATCACCCTTTATTTGACTCATCCTAAGCATCTACTGGGCAATTTTTTTTTATTTTATCTGTTTTAATATACGTTTATCCCTCCTTTTCTTCAAAGAATTCTAGAAAATTCATGAATTTAAATCAAGAGTAATTAAGGACTTATCTCTCTATAATATAAAGCACCATTTCACCTGCCTCACTTTAGCATGTGATGTTTGAGCCAAGAACGGCCATCGATATGACCTCTAACTAATTCCAATCACTCATATTTCAGGAATTGTAGAAACATAGAATAGGAGCAACTGACTTTCTGTTCTCCAGAGGTTTTGAGCTTTAGCATCTACAATCTCTTGTCCATAGAGCTGAAGGAATTTGTGGAAATAGATGACAATTCGATATCAAAGCATCCAGGGGTTCAATAGTGGGTTGCCAATTTTTTCACTACTGGTTCAGGTGCACTCCCATGTGCGCTCTTATGATGCTTCTATGCATGTGCAGAAGTGTCCAGGCAGGTAGGCGGAGCCTCCCACTGCCGCTATCGGTTCAGCCGAACTGGGCTGAACTAGGACCAACCCACCACTGCAGAGGATATCAGGTCACCTACCAGTGACGTGCGGTGAGGTTTATGGCTGGTGAGGCAAAAAGAAAGAAAGCGGCTTTTGGCCGCTTTCAAGAAAGAGGCAAAAGGCACTAGAGGCAAAAGCCACTCTGCCACTATGTCCAAAAGCCCTGNATTTGATTGCTTATTAGTAACATATTACTATCGCTGTGTTGCATCTTATGATTCTTGATGAATGTATTCTATTTTATTTTTCTTTATGTACACTGAGAGCATATGCCCCAAAGACAAATTCCTTGTGTGTCCAATCACACTTGGCCACTAAAGAATTCTATTCTATTCTATTCTATTCTATTCTATTCTATTCTATTCTATTCTATTCCATTCCATTCCATTCTAATTCTTTCACTGGTGGTGCCTCCTCTTGGATAATATCATCCCCAGAGATCCCTCTTTTATACTTCTTTTCAGTGCCAAAGGAAAGAACTTTTTGTTTCCTGGCATTTTAATTCTTTCAGAAATATTATACTATTTAATTTTGCTGCTGGTTTTATGTGAAGTGTATGTGCTGTCCTGTGATATTTCTTGCTTCTTGTTTTAGTTCTAGTGCATGAATAATAATTCATGATTTCACTAATTTAACATTTCTTCTAATCTACACCATTCAGAAAATTTCTGAATAGGTAATCTAAAAGTATTATTTAAAGGTGTAATCATTAACTAAAAGGGCCCCTGGTGGGGCAGTGGTTAGAATCCAGTGTTGCAGGCAAACTCTGCTCACAGCCCGGAGTTCAATCGTGAAGTGACTCAAGGTTGACTCAGCTTTCCATCCTTCCGAGGTGGGTAGAATGAGGACTCAGATTGTTGTGAGCAATATGCCGACTCCGTAAACTGCTCATAGAGTACTGCAAAGCACTATGAAGTGGTATGTAACTCTAAGATCTATTGCTATTGCTAAATGTTAGCAATATTTAGTGTTTCTGGGTTAGAAAAATTAGCAAGCGGGACAGAAGAATTATAGAAGGGTGCAAAATTATGCCTGGTGCAGAGAGAGTAATCAGAAAAAATATTTTCTCTTTAATTAGACTTGAATCTGAAGTTAAGTTGTGAAGTAAGATTGTGGGAGATAGAAAAGAAATGCCTTGCCCTTAGTTCCTGGGTCCCAAGGTGTCAGAAATAATAATATGCCTGCTAAGATATGTCTGCTTCTCACTTATTTTTATTTTTAAAATAATAAATGGGAAACTAACATGCTATCAAGCAAAGCCCTAGGCCTCTCATATATCGCAGAGACAAGTTCATGATGTATACAGTATGTTCATGATATAAAAAGACTGGAGTTTCCCCAATAAATAGCTATGGGATAAAGTTGCTTACACATAGAACAGCCTGGACAAGTTTTAAAGGAATGAGTCAAATTAATGGAGAATAAAGTACCAATATCAGGGTAACATCTGTATGAGATATTTCTCATACTGATAAAGGGAATAGCAGATTATAATATCAGTATGAAGATTGCCTTGCCTTCATCCAAAATGCAAGAACCTCCATTCCACTGTGAAGGAATATAACAACACACACACACACACACATATACAAGGAAGAGAGTTTTGGCAACTACCTATAAATTTCCCTATCTGAAAGTACAATATTTGCTAGAATTCTTGTGTGGCAACTCTAACTTTCCTTCTAAACCTGCAATTCACCAGAATTCTTCCTGTTTTGTTCCTTGGGTTCAATCAATTTAGATTGTAAGGAGATGAATTTACAATTTAGATTATCAAAAATGAATGAATAATGCCAGGATGGGATTATCATTATTTTCAATAAAATTAATAGGATTGTTTTCCAATCATGTCTTTAATAAATGACCCCATGTTGGCTCAGGAAAATTACAATCTGGCTGCAACTTTTGGAGGTTTACAGGGACCACACCAAGATCCTGAAATACAGCTCGAATAGCTGCCAATCCATATCACTAACTCATAGAGATTTCCTGTTTCAAAACATTCTGAGTCCCAGTGAACTGACAGCTTCATGCTGTTCCTTTCAGACTGTTTAGTTTTCCACCCAGGGGGGGTTTCATCTGCACATGCCCCTTTGATGCTCAATTTAATCAATGGAAAATTTCCTCCTGTGGCTAAAATTGCAATCTTTTTGCGACCACTCAAGGGCAAAGGTAACGTGACACTGTTAAACTGAATTTGCTAATTATGTCCCACTAAAGATGATTTCCCTTTGCACCGATATGTTCAGACGTTTATTATTTGCCTGAGAGATGGCTAGGAGTATAGTAGAGAGATTTGTGCATAAGCCTAACTCTCTTTGGTAAATGTTTGAGGCATGCCATACAATATAGTTGGGTAATATATTGTACTTCGCTGGGCAGAAAATGGGAGAAGATGAAGCAATGTTTATTGTCTTTCCGAAGTTGACAAAAAATTGCAAATGTAATCTGTATTTTCTGCTTCTGCTCTTCTTATTTAATTATGCTTAAAAAGGCTGTAGTCCTACTCCCCTCTTGTCAGTGAGTAAGCCCAAATTAATTTAGACTCAAATTTAATATTGCCATGAGTAGAGTAGAGTAGAGTAGAATAGAATAGAATAGAATAGAATAGAATAGAATAGAAT